TTTCTATGACCATTAGCCACAGAGATCAGTTATTTGCAAAACACAGAAAGCTAAGGAAGGGAAGACACTGTGATACCCCATGACTCTCAGAATTAAACACCATACTCACACCATTTCTGAACCATCAGTTAACCCTGAGTCTTCTCTACTTATTTACAATCTATAATAATAAAAGCATAATATGCTAGTTAGACCAGACGTCCTTCCGGACAACCTTCTGGATGAAGCCAAGGCTGAGAGGGAAGCCCGGGTCCTAGGTGCCAGAAGGAAGCCAATGCCAGCAGCCAGGGGAAGGAAGGCCTAGTCTTGCAGAATTTCATGCATCGGGCCTCTAGTTTACAATAAATTCATAGAAGGCTGATTTCAAAGCACCTTATAAACACTGTTGCTTCTATTATCTACCTCTGTAAAGAGAAGCATTTTTAGCCTACCTAGGAGGGACCTACAATGGTACTTAATATTTACCCATCACATTTTTTGCACATAAACATACATAAGATACAAATCCGATTCACTAGACTGCACAAAATTTTTCAAAACATGAATTTTAACTGATCAAAACCATAAATATATACCATATAGTAATGTATTTGTGCAGCTTGTCCACAAAAGGTTTGGTAGTGATCAGTTAAAATTAAAGGTTGACATAATTATGTAAAATTTAATTATGGCAATTATTTGTATACTTCATATCTCAGCACTTTGCTCTCCACTGATAACAGAGTAGCCGTTAGAATGGTAAGGAGGGAGATACAAAATCAAACACAAATAGGATGCCTTAAATCCAAAAAGGTTGGGAATTGATGCTCTAGTAAGCTGTAATGTATAGATTCTGGGCAGCACCCAATCCTACACTACCTAATTTATTCCCAAGTCCCTTAGAATCAAAGCTGGGTAAGGAGACAAAACACTATGTGTGACACTTGTATTCTCACTTCTATCACAGTATTAAAAATTACTACTATTGGAATAACGTAAGAAAACTGTAAGCTTTCTATCTTTTGCTAAGAGAAGTTGTGTTTTATTCCAAGCATTTTAATTATTACAGAATTTATTTCATTATTCAGATATCAGAAAATTAATTCATAAGTTAACTTATTTTTTAATGTTTTTATTGATTTTAGAGAGAGGAAAGGAGAAGGAGAGACAGAAACAGCGATGACAAACATCAATTGGCTGCCTCCTGCACGCCCCCGACTGGGGATCGAGCCCACAACCTGGGCACGTGCCCTGACCTGGAATTGAACTATGACCTCCTGGGTTCGTAAGTAGACACTCAACCACTGAGCCACACTGGCTGGGCAAAATTGGCTATTTTAATATGTTTATTGGTCATGTACTTTTCCTTTTACAAACTGATCTGTTCTGACTCTAAATCTGGAACAGGAAGAGTACAGGATGAGCCTGAATCATCTTGTCATACCAGAAAGCAAGTAAGCTACCACAGATTACTAGAAACCTGCCATAAGGACTTGGAACCAACCTGAATAAGCCTATATACCCAAAGATAGGGCAATTTGAGCATCAAACGGACAATAACTGAGCCCCGGCCAGGTTGCTTAGAGCATCATTTAGATATATCAAAGTTGCGGGTTCAATTTCCAATCAGGGCACATACAAGAAGCAACCAATGAATGCATAAATAAGCCAAACAAATCAATTTTTCTCTCTTTCTCTCTCCCTTCTAAAAAAAATAAATTAAAAAAAACGGGACAATAACTGAAATGGACTAAAACACATATACTAATCCTATCCTATATAATAAAACCCTAATATGCAAACTGACGGAACAGTGGAACTGGTCGCTATGATGCACACTGACCACCAGGAGGCAGATGCTCAACCCAGGGAGCGCTGCTCAGCCAGAAGCCAGGCTCACGCACAGTGGCAGAAGCCTCTCCTGCCTCCGCTGCAGGTGAGCGGTAAGGAGCGAGGGGTCCCAAACTGTGAGAGGGATGTCTGCCTGCTGGCTTAGGCCTGATCCCCAGGGGATCCCCTGAGGGGTCCCCGACTGCGAGAGAGCACAGGCCAGGCTGAGCGGCACCCCCCCGCCAAGTGCATGAATTTCATGCACCAGGTCTCTAATAAGAGTTATAAAAATAAATATACAGAAAAAGGGGAAAATCCTCATCCATCACCATAGGAGGATACTAGGGAACTAACTTACGATTTGGGGAAGTGGTAAATAAAGGGAAGTAATTAGGCATTATTCCCACCCTTCCTATACAATCTATATTATACCTCAGGGTGAGTCCTATATACTCGTCCATACAGCAAAATAGATACCATTATCACATTAGCTGGGAAACAAAAATGTCATCTGCAAGAGCCACACATTTCAAAAAGATATCACTACCTACATGGAAGGAAAAGATAGGACCCAACAGAACATAATGTACATGTTAGTTTTATCCCTCATGGATTCTATATCTTAAAAAGGAACTACATTAAGTAATAACTAACTTGTTTTCTCATTTTAATTAAACAAATATATCTATAAATTCCAGTGAGACCCAACCAGTGGTGTCTCAGTGGTTGGGCACTGGTCCATAAACCACGAGGTCCCAGGTTTGATTTCCGGTCAGGGTAGACAAACAACTGATTAATGTTTCTCTCTCACATCAATGTTTCCCCTTCTCTCTCTTTCTCTCCATTTCTCTAAGCATGTTCTTGGGTAAAGACTTTTTAAAAAGGATTAAGATGGTAAATTTTAGCTTATGTATATCTTATCACAAAACATTATATTTAGTATGTTAAAATTAAAAGAAATTTGACATTTTATTTTTTAAAATTTATCTTTATTGTTCAAAGTATTACAGATGCCCTCCTTTGACCCTCTCCACCCCAACTTCTCCCTATTGTCTCTGTCCATAGGTTACGCATATCTATAATAATAAGAGAGTAATATGCTAATTAGACCGGATGACTTCTGGACATCATTCCTGACGAAGACGGGGTCCAGAGGGAAGCCAGCCCGGGTCCTGGGTGCCTGTGGGTGGCCTAAGGGAAGCCAGCCCGGGTCCTGGGTGCCTGTGGGTAGCCTAAGGGAAGCCAGCCCGGGTCCTGGGTGCCTGTGGGTGGCCTAAGGGAAGCCAGCTGGGATCCCAGGTGCCTGCTGGCGGCCAGAGGAGGAAAGCCCGGGTCCCGGGTGCCGGAGGGAAGCCGATGCAGGAGAGAAGCCGGTGCTGGCAGCTGGGGGAAGGAAGGCCTACTCTTGCACGAATTTTCATGCATCAGGCCTCTAGTATGCATATAAGTTCTTTGGTTAATCTCTTTCCACCACATCCCCTTACCTCTGAGATTCCTCAGTCTGTTCCATGTCTGAGGATCTATTTTGTTAGTCAGTTTATTTTGTTCATTAGATTCCACTTATAAGTGAGGTCATGTGATACCCATCTTTCTGACTGGTTTCTCTTAGCACAATACTCTCCAGGTCCCTCCATGCTGTCTCAAAGAGTAAGAGATCCTTCTTTATTACAGGTGCATAGTATTCCATCATGTAAATGTACCAATTTTTTTATACACTCATCTACTGATAGGCACTTGGGCTGCTTCCAGATCTTAGCTATTGTAAACAACACTGAGCATTTGAATTTTAATTGCATAGTCCCTGCAGCTTCACCAAGGACAAATATATAATTTCAATAAAGCTTTTGGTAATATTGAAACTGCTTCACGAATCTTAAATAGGAACCAATGCAATAACTAAATCAAAGCATTTTAATAGAAGTTTTAACCAATCTTTAATGCACTTGATGAATCAAATCATGTGCATATTGGGCCACTCAATCCATTTTCAATCTTTTTTCATCCACAGAAGGGAACAGGAAAGACTATAATTGATATTTCCAATTCAGTGAGAGAGATGAAGAACAATATCCAGCTTAGCCATGCACAAGGTAGGCACTCAATAAACATTCCTGAATTCTAATCCTCAGTGAATCTGCAGAAAAACCAAGAAGAAACCTGCCTGTCACCCTGTCCTATACCATCTCATGAGAGGGTTGAAATTGGCCTCGAGGAAGGCTGCCATCTCTGCTGGTTTTTCATTACTTGGATCTCAGCATCAGTGTTGGATGGTTCAATGTAAAACAGTTTCATGTACCAAGTATCCTTTTATGGGTTTAAAAACATTTTTTTTCGATTAGAGTTTTGGTGAGAAAAAAAATGTGAGTCACCAAACTGCCACTCTTATACCTCAATATGAAAACGAGAATGTTCGCCCTAACCGGTTTGGCTCAGTGGATAGAGTGTCAGCCTGCAGACTCAAGGGTCCCAGGTTCGATTCCGGTCAAGGACATGTACCTTGGTTGCAGGCACATCCCCAGTAGGGAGTGTGCAGAAGGCAGCTGATCGATGCTTCTCTCTCATCGATGTTTCTAACTCTCTATCCCTCTCCCTTCCTCTCTGTAAAAAATCAATAAAATATATTTTTTTAAAAAAGAAAGAAAACTAGAATGTTCAATACGATATACATGTCTTTTCTAAATGAAAAAGTCACTGTTTTAAAATTTAGTAGCAAGTACATTATATTCTCATTTCTCAGGCACAGGAGGCAATCCTGGCTTTCCATTCTGCTCCCATGTCTGCAAGCTCATGGTGTTAGTGTTTGCTCTCCATGTGATCCCTCGAACTCAGCCTTACATACTTCTAACTCGGGAGGTCAACACCACCTCCCCCATCACAGGAAAACACAATACTTCCACAATCCTTGTTAAGACAGAACACGTAAATTCTTACAGGAAATTCGCATCCTCTAACAACTTTCATACAAACTCAGTCCTAGTCTGTAGACAGAGGAGCTAAACACTAGCTGTGGCTACTCACAATTTATTCGTATACTCATTTCCACGACAGCAAACTATGAGGAAATGGAATGCGGGCCGTTGAGACCCGCCCAGACTGTCACTGCACAATGTTGACATCCACTTGCACACGGCGCTGGGAGACCGCCAGGGCTACGTGCAAGGTGCCGTCACTTCACCTCCATCACACCCAGCAAGCTGGTGCCGGGGGCCTGGTGGTGACTGCCCTCCGGGGCCACGGCGCTGCTCCCAGCGGCCTGGCCTGCAAGGAACAAACTGAGAAATGGAAACCTAGATGCAGAGACAGAGGCATGAAGAAAGGGACCCCCCACACACACCCTCCCCCTCCCCAGAGGGAAATTCACATTCTTCAAAACCTTGGAAATAAGTGACTTTCCCCGTGCTTTTTAAAAACCTGCCTACTGGGTATCCTTAAGTAAACTTACTGAAGGACTGCAAATATCTAGAGGAGTCCCCGAGTAATAGAGAAATCCAGGAAACAGCTCCCTGAAAGGGGGGGGGGGGGGGGTGTAACTGTCCCCAAGGGGAGAAGTGTTAGGAGGCTTCCTGATCACCATGGCGACTCAGCAGGTAAGTCACATCCATTTAGAGGACGGGGTCCCCCTCACTTCCCCCCAGAGCCCGAGGGCCCGCACCTTCCCAGCCTGGAAGCGAGGTGCCCGGGAAGGGCAGACGCCTCTCCCGAGCTGAGTGCCCGAGCGGGTCCAACTTCAGACCCGACCTCCCCTGCACCCGGTCGAGCAGCGCGGGGGAACGAGGAAGGGCGGGCATCCCGAGCGGAATCTCCGTGATTTGCCCGAGGAGACAGCACAGACCAGACCCCAGGAGCGCCAGCCTTTCCGTGCAGCTGCCACGACAGGTGACTCGGCCGCCGCGCAGACACCCCGCTCGCCCGGGCGTTCACGCGGCGGCGGCGGCGGCGGCGGCGGCGGCGGCGGGCGGGCCGGGGGCGCGGGAGGGAGGCGGGCTGGGGGCCCGGCGAGAAGGTGGGCAGGGGCTGCCGGGGAGCCCGCTCCGCGCGGCGCGGGGGAGGAAGGGGAGGAGCGCAGCCCGTCTCCCCGGGGGAACCGTTGGAAGGGGCTTTCTGGCTCCACAAGTCAGAAAGAAAAATGGCTCCGAGCCAGCCGCCTCCCGGTCTACACGCGAGCACACGCACCCGCGCTCCTCGGTCCCATTTTCCGATGCGCGGAAACAAAAGGCGACCACGCTCCGCGGCTGCCAGCGCCGCCCGCAGCCCGGGCCGCCACCCTCTCCCCGCGCCCTCGGGAGGCCCCCCGAGACGGCCCGCGGCCCGCAGCCCGGCCTCCCGCCAGCCCGGGGCGCTGCCGCCGCCCGCCGCGCCCGGCAGAGGGGCCTGGCGGGGCTCGGGCCCCCCGCGCCCGCCTCGAGGGGACCGGCGCCCGGCCCGGCTCGGAGGACGCCCCGGGCTGCTTCGGGCTCGCGGCCGCCGCGCGCGGAGGGCGATGGGGACGGCGGCCCCCGCCCGCCTCACCTCCGGGCGGCCGTGCGGCCCCGCGCTGCTCCGCGCCGCTCCGCCTGCAGCAGCCCCGCCGCCGCCTCCCCCCGCGTCTCGGTCGAGTCTCCGCCTCCCTCGGCCGCCGCCGCCGCCGCCGCCGCCGAAGGGCCCGGCGCCGCGCCACGTGACCGCGCCACGTGACCCCGAGCGGGCGGCAGCGCCTCCGCGCCGGCCTCGCGCCCTCGCGCCCGGGGGTGACCGCCCGCCCGCCCGCCGGCTCCGGGCCGGGGTCGCGGCCGCGCCGCCACCACCCGCTTCCCCAACGGAGCCCCTGCCCCACAGACCCGGGCGCATCCCGCAGCCCCCGCCCCTCGCGGCTGCTCCACGGCGTGGACCACAGTGGCCACGTGGGACCCGCCCGGCCCGCCCAGAACTCCCGCCCGGCGGCACCGGACCCGGTGCGCCCCGACTCGGTGGGCACGTCCCGCCGTCTGCACCGGGATGCACAGATCCGCTCGGACCGGGAACCGACGCTGCTCCCCACGAAGACAGTCATTGGAGAGCCCCTGATGGGAGTGCCCCCAGAGTACCCCCTTTTCCAGCCGGCCTGGGGAAAAGGCCGGGAGCGTCATTGTAACGCACAAAGGGGGTAGGAGGGGGCGGGCGCCCCACCCAGGATGGACGACCTGCCGGGATGGACACTCCATCCAGGACGGAGCAGCAGTGCGGGGTGCGGCTGTCCGCGTGTGTAGTTCTTTTAAAAACAGGCGGGATCGCCATCCTTTCCTCCTTGATTTGACGCATAAAATGCCCCAAACTGTTAAGTATAACAGCCACTCTTTGTAAGGGATCGGAACTTTTTCCTATTTTGCCTAATTGCCAAATTTCTCAAATCAGCTTCATATGTAAGAATTCTTGCTTCTGTAAATTTCTGGATGTCAGAAAGAAAAAGTAGACGAAGAGTTCTTAAATTCTGAAATTCCATGCCTAAGATTTCACAAGTGTTGGCAAGTGCTACCTAGATTTTTTTAATTTTTAAAAAACATGATTTTTAAACAAGCAATACTTGCTTCATGCAAATACATTAATACTTCTATTAATGTACTTAATAGAAGTATTGATATTAGTATTATTTGATAACAATATAGCACACCAAAATATTGAAACCTTTTAGAAAAAATACATTTAGTTATTATATTAAACGTAAAAGATATTAATCCTCACTCAACGAGACAACTATTATGCTTCAACTGAGAGCTCAACATTATTATAACACTAGAGCTCCGGTGCACAAAATTCGTGCACAGGTAGGGTCCCTAGGCATGGCCAGCCATCAGGGCCAATCAGGGCCTTCCTGCTGTGGGCCAGGGCCTTCCTTAGTTCCTCGCTGCCCCCTGCTGGTCAGTACCATCATAGTGAGCCATCCAACTCCCAAGAGGACAATTTGCATACTAGCCTTTTATTATATAGGATGATGGGGGAACCAAAGGAAGTAAACAAGGTAGCCCTTACCCTCAAAGTGCCTCTCTCTCTCTCTCTCTCTCTCTCTCTCTCTCTCACACACACACACACACACACACACACACACACACAGGGATAAGCAATCAGAGCCTGGAGAAAGAAAACATTTTTAATCTGACCCTAAGATCAGACTTTAAAGAGTTACTAAAAGGAATAATGTAAAGATAAAACTGCATTGGAAGAACTTCCTAACTTAAATATAATCTACATAACAAAATTAAAAGTATTTAGCAAATACCATCAAGACTGAACAATACAGGTGTTCTTTCTTATGCAAAATGAAAAAATGTTAACCTTGAAACCATTCTTTTCCTAATAGCATAGTTTTCCTTAGGGCCCTCATGCATAAACTGTCTTTTATTCAAGCACTGTTAGGCACACATGCAGCCAACTTTGGGCACATCTGTAAAGGACCTCAAATGTGTTTTCTACCTAGTGTCCATGGTTATGTAAATAGTCTTTGGAGCAAGTTACCTCCATTGAAATCCTGCTTCTACCACCACAAATGACAATAACAAGATTCCTAGCACTGCTCCTTTAAGCATACATTCTGCTTCCTAACTACTCACAGGGCTGTTGAAAGAATTAAACGGTGTGGCTGAGTGGTTGAGCGACAACCTACGAACCAGGAGGTCACAGTTTGATTCCCGGTCAGGGCGCATGCCCGGGTTTCAGGCTCGATCCCCAGTGGGGGGGCATGCAGAAGGCAGCCAATTGCTGATTCTCTCTCATCATTGATGTTTCTATCTCTCCCTCTCTCTTCCTCTCTGAAATCAATAAAAAAATATATTTTTAAAAATAAAGTACTTAATATAGTGCCTGATACATAATAGCTACTCAATCAAAAATAATAGCTCAGGTTTATGAAACACTTCCTATGGGCCAAACTCTGTACCTTGTTGGTTCTTATTTTTACTATTCTTTCCATTCTGACTCTTGGTGGGTGCCTTACCCACCACCATACCTTAGGGATCTATTCTCTCTCTGCCTTTTGAGGATGAAAATGGTTTTCTTATGTTAACTTGAAGGCTCATTTATAGCAATCTATTAAATATATTGTGAATTTACATCTTAAGCTTTAATAAAAAGTCTATGAAATGAAAATGATCGCCTCTCATTTGGAAATCTGAGGCAACTGGGAGCCATTAGGAAGGAGATTTGGCAAAGGGGACCCTTCCACTGGCCTTTGAAATCCCGTTCATCCAACAATTCTCATTTTGTTGTGTTCAAAAGACTTTTAAATATTAGAAAACTTGGCAACATATTTGAAGAAAGTAAACCAATCCATATTGATAAATAGAAATTACTAGAAGAAACTGTCTCTCCTTCATGATGTTGACTCTATTAACTGGCTGTCCTTACTACCCTGATCTAGCTTCCAAGAGTTCTGAGATACGTGACTTTTCTGTGAAGAAGTATGCTATCCTTGTCTTGGGTCACAGAGTGAGCTCAGAGCTCAAGTTGGATCTGATAGGCATCTTGGTAACAATCTGACAATCAGGTTGAGGTGGAAATATTGTACACTCATCATTTGGCTGTGGAACTAGGAAGAAGTATGGGCCTAGCATGGTAGCTGAGCTCAACTGTATGACTCTAATGCTGGGCCTAAAGGCACGAGGCATCAGGAATCACAGCCAGGCACTCTCCCTCCAGGGAGCACACCCATGCATTTCCTTCCCCCTTTTCTGCCTGTCCCCCACCCCGGCACATATCCCCTAACCTCTAAGGGACCGTATGAGACTTGCAACCAGGGGAGCAATGGGCAGCAGCAGCTCATCCCAGGCTCACCCCCTGAACCTGTCTCCAAGGCCCCCTTTTCTCAAACTTCCCAGTGAGCCAAAGCAGCCCAGCTATGGCTCTCCTGTTGCATCTTCTATGCCCTTCCTTGTTTCACTCTCCTAAGTATATTTTTGCTGCAGTCAACAAATTCTTGCTTACTTTTCTACACACACACACACACACACACACACGGAAATCACAGCCGGTGCCTGGGTTGGTCTCGGTATCCCTCTCTCGCCATCATGTTACTATAGGAGTTCCAGATATGAACATCCAGTTTCTGCTGACTCAAGCCTTTCAGCCACCACAACATTCAGGCTAGGGATCGGGACCCTGGATCCTGGACATAGGAATACGGAAGGTGTCCATGGCAAAGGAGCTAGAGCTTTTGGAGAATTAAATGCAAGCCTTTTGTCTTTCAGTGGATCCTGAGAGCCAAAAAAGCAGTGCCCGTTTAGCCTTCATCACAGGAAGAAGCATGCAGAATGAGGAGGAAATGTCCGAGGCGCACGTACCCAGCACAGCCAGCTACCGCCACTGCTCTCCCAGCTCTGACACTACCACAGTCCCAGTTTAAGGACATTGATACGCTGGAGCACAACCTAGGAAGGCTGACCAGGAGGGTAAGGACTCTAGAAGCTGAATTATAATGTACAGTTTTATAAATCGCTGGTAAAGACAATAGGGATGCTTAGTATGGAGAGAGACAGAAGAAAATGTGTGTGAATATCATCGTGTGGGCATAGTATTACTTTTTCATTATTGAGCTGCTACTTTTGGACCGAGCACTGTCCAAGAGCCAGTGTGTGGTTTATGGGAGGGGATGTGGTTCAGGTAAGAGCCTTGCAACAGGATGGTAAGATCGCCTGGAGCCCACTCATGCCTCTGCTTTAACTCCTACGAGCTAGGCTGGACATTCAGAGGGCAAGGTCCTTCTTCATGGCTCAGTCTTAAAAGCCCAGAGCCTCTCCTCAGCCAACTGCCTCCTCTTCCCCATCCTGCGGGGTGCTGCTGAGTGAGGCAACACCTGCACCGCTGTCTAGGACTGGAAGTGCTGCCCAGCTCCCTCTGCAAGGAGGAGTATGGGAAGCATCTGCCCTGCTGTCTCAGGGTCCTCATCTCAGAGGCCTGAAGAGCAGAACAGAGCGGATGGACTCTGTGGCCTGCACCTGGGGCTGGTCAGAAAATAGCTTTTGCCCTAGCTGGTTTAGCTCAGTGGCTAGAGATCAGCCTGCAGACTGAAGGGTCCCGTGTTCAATTCTGTTCAAGGGCACATACCTCGGTTGCAGGCTCAATCCCCTGGCCCTGGTGAGGGCTTCTATGGGAGGCAACCAATCGATGTGTCTCTCTCACATCAATGTTTCTTTCTCTCTGTCTCTCCCCCTCCCTTCTACTCTCTCTAAAAAAAAAAAGCAATGGAAAAATAGCCTTGGGTGAGGATAAATAAATATATAAAAATAAGTATAGCTATTTAAAAAAAAGTTTTTGTAATCATCTCTTTCCCCCACCCAGAAGAGAGGAGGGGAGCAGGCCGCCATACTTTGGCCAGTCGAAGCTTCATTCTTCTTCCTCCTAGTCCTTTCCTCCTTGAGGTGGGTCCTTTAGGCAGCCTGAATTCTGACCAGTCCATTGTCTGAGTAGGTAAATGTTGCCAGGTACCATTTTTTCTTCTAGCAGAGTAGTCAGTGGTCTTCTGAAAGGGACAGAATTGGCCTTAGTTCAGCAACTACTAAAGCAGGTAGATACCCTTGTCTTGGGTAAACTTCTTGTTTTTCCTGGCAGTGTCTTAGAACTGCCTCACCTCGTAACATGCAGAATTGATCTCTGGGAAGAGGAGTGATTTGTGAAAGATTTCAATGAACCACCCTAGGCCAACCTGCCAATGGAGGGCTGGGAGGGCTGGTGGGAAGGAATGCCCTGAACTGAGGGAGAGAGCAAGCAGGTAGAAGTTGTAGCCCGCGCCTGGGGCTGGTCAGGGGAAGCTGGCCAGAACATCCCAAGGCTGTGTGCTAAAGCCACTTCTGACAAAAACCTCAGGAGGCTGGCTGCTCTGGGAGGCTGCTTGAATGAGAGTCCTGGAGTCGGGAGCAGAGGGGCTGTAAGGCTTGGGACTGAAGACGGTTAGGATATCAGGCTTGTAGCTGAAGCATGATACAATGAAACTGACTTCACTCAAATATCAAACACCGAGAATACTTTGGGCTTATCTGTTATTTATATGTAACCTGTTTGTTATATCTTGTCTTTGTTTTAGCCACCACGTGGAAGAACCACAACTGAAGAACAGACATGGCCACAAGGCCTGGGTTGTCATCCAGACCACCACTTGCTGACGATGTGTTTGGGTACATTACTCCATCTCTCCAGCCTTCATTCCTCAGCCTGTAAAATGGGGAGGGATGTTGGTCCCTGATCCTTTACAACTCTAAGGTTCTATAGCTTTTTCAATGAAATTGTTGTGGAGAGGAAGACATAAGGCTTCCCTATCGATTGGAATATTTACACCAACCTACCACAAGGAATATTTCATTATACTAAGCCATGTGAACATGAAGAACAAGGTTAACTTGCTGAAGCAATTTTAGGTTGGTTTTCCTCTTACTAGCTGAAAAATCGACCCAGATGTTTACCAATAGGATTGATGGATACAAATATCAAGTCATACCTATATACTTAAGCATTAAGCGAAAAAGAAAATGACTTATTAGATACTCAATAATGTTTGTTGAGGAAGGTAGAGGAAGAGACTCTCTGAAAGATTTAAGTATTTAAGTACTATTTAAGAATCAGACTATAGATGAAATAAGTCCCAGCAACAATTTGCGTACATTGAAGTAGACTTACTCAAAATAATGTGCTTTTGGGATATTGTAGCAGAGATGGGTAACTTTGACCTTAGGAGAAAAATGATTAAGTCTACAGTTTACTATTATATCCCCATCTCTAGTGCCCAGAACAGGGGCACATAGTGATTAAATGTGTGATGGCTAATTGAATGAATGAATAAATAACAAATCTGGATGGATGATGGATGGATGAATCATTTAACCATGAATGAATAAATCAAGCATTCATGTGAAAGCTATAATAGTTTGGAAAAAAATAACACTAAACATTTGTGGAAAAGGTTCACATGTTAACTAGTATTTGTTTCTGGATATTTAAAGTAAAAGGATAACTGGAGGTATTCAAGAATAAACAGATTGGGCAGCTACTTGGCAGGTGTGTGAGATGGGATAAAGAAGGTTCAGCTTGGAAAGGTGATTGGACTAGTTTTGTCTTGATATTCTCTGATCTTTTTTTTTCTTTTTTTAAATATATTTTATTGATTTTTTACAGAGAGGAAGGGAGAGAGATAGAGAGTCAGAAACATCGATGGGAGAGAAACATCGATCAGCTGCCTCCCGCACATCTCCCACTGGGGATGTGCCTGCAACCCAGGTACGTGCCCTTGACCGGAATCGAACCTGGGACCTCTTAGTCCGCAGGCTGACGCTCTATCCACTGAGCCAAACCGGTTTCGGCTCTCTGATCTTTTAAATAAAGTGATTAATAAAGTTAAGGATCCTATAGTTGGCTATTTTAACAATTATCTTTAGGTTTTTCAAGTTATAATTTTAAGAAGTAAAAAACATATGAGATGAAAAATCTGTATCTTTAAATAGTGTTCATATTACACACCAAAGTAATCATAAATTAAGTACATATAATTATAGGCAAGGTACCTTGCAGGAACTAATCAGCTTCTAGATTCTACGCTTGCAAACCTAAACACATACAGAGATAATAATGCCATTTGTTATGACATTGTGAAAAATATTTGGTTTTGATATTATATTTAAGAAAGACTTAGATCTTATATGAAACATTTCAGAGAATGAGGAGGAAAATATACATTGATATCCATTCATTTCACTAAGGAAAAATTCTAAATATTAATTTTGTTCATCTTCAAAAGATTGAAAGATGGAATGGGAAATTGGCTTAGAGAAATAAGATAACACAAAGTCCACAGATTGAATAGTTTTCCAAGAAGTGATTCTATTAAATATATACATACATATATATAGGCATATATATGTATGTATATGTCTTAAACAGTACATACTTTTTGCCGCATCTCTGAACAATATAAGAGATGCTATGGAGAGGTAGACTAGTTGCCTAGCAACCTGAAATTAGTGAGACATGTCCCCTTTGGTTTACTTGATTTAAATCAAGATTTTCAAGAGCAACTATGAGATAAATGACAAAAATGTAAAAACTCATAATGCTAGCACCACACAATGTATATCAAATCATCAAATTGTATACCTTAAATATATGCAACTCTTCATGGTCAAATATTCTATATAATAAAAGCTTAATATGCAAATTGTTCGACTGGGAGTTTAAGCACTCGCTATGACGTGCGCAGATCACCATGTGGTGGCATGGAACATGGCGGGTATTGGCAGGCAGCGGGTGGCAGGGAGGCACTGCCGGCCCCGATGGGCCCTGATGAGAGCAGGAACACGGTGGGATGGTGGAGCAAGTGAGCAGGGCCACCGCCTGGCCCCCAGGCACTGAGGGAGCTGGGGGCGGGGGAGAGAGCCCCGGCCCCATCAATCATCGGGCAGGATAGTGGAGCAGATGAGGGTTAGGGTTAGGGTTAGGGCAGCGCCAGGCCACAGCAGGGTGCCGGGCGGGGCTGCTGGGCTGTGAGGCTGGGGGCACGAGCTGGGGCCCAATCCCAGCAGGCCACCCCGAGGGAACCCACCTATGCACGAATTTGTGCACTGGGCCTCTAGTACCTCAATAAGAACAAAAATAGCACTTCTGAAGACTAAATGAGTTAAGAACAAGTAAAAAGAAAATAGGAAAATATTTTAAATTTAATAAATATGAAGGTAGAACAATAAAATGGCTCTTGCTGATGAAGATGGCTCTTTTTGTTTAATAGTAGAGGACATTTGGAAGCCTAAGGGTAAATTTGAGGTCTGAGGCCGAGAAAGCTTTTGTAAAGCTTTCTATACAGTGGTCTCAAAAGAAGAAGAAAAAGTAGATATACTGTTTTTAATCCCCAAATGTGGATGTTTATAAAGTAAAAAGTTACCCTTTTTAATTTTTTGCCAATACAAGGAAAATGCATTATTTCTGTTAGAAATTAAGTCTGAAATCTAAATCAAATTCATTTATTCCAATATACTGCTTCTCAGAAAAATTATATATAGTTTGTAGCAGCATTTTATTTCTCTAAACACTGCACAGAGAGCAAAGAAAGGACAAATTCTAGGTCATGGAAGGTCTGGATCCCCAAAGCAAATAGTGTCATTTCAAACTCTAGGTCAGAGCTCCTCCTACTGGAATAACTTACTCAGTACAAGATATCAGACTTGGTCAAGACTCAAAAAAATTTCTTTTAAATATTTTTATTGATTTCAGAGAGGAAGGGAGAGGGAGAGAGAGATATAAACATCAATGATGCGAATCACTGATTGGTTGACACTGGGGATCGAGCCTGCAACCTAGGCATGTGCCCCTGACCGGAATTGAACCTGGGACCCTTCAGTCCACAGGCCAACGCTCTATCCACTGACCCAAACCAGATAGGGCAAGACTCAAATTTTTAACAGATGTTAATAGCACTGTCACATATTCAATAGGTCACAATTCCTTCTTTGTGGTAGGGGGAAAATTTCACATCAAGTGGTAATTTTTAAACATCTATATTATATCTTCCTTTCACCTTATAACTGGCATGTACTTTGAGATTTGGGTTAACATTTACATAGGACTTATGACCTACCTGGCAATATTCTGTGTTTAAAAATATTCATATAACCCTAACAACAATTACATGAGGAAGGAACTTCTCTGATCTTATTTTATGGGTGAGGAAACTGAGGTACATGATAGATCTTATTTCCTATGTATTTGTGGTTTTAATGTTATTGTAAATGGTATTTCTAAAATTTTATTTTTCAGCCTTTCATTGCTGATATAGAAAAATTGACTTTTGTTTATTGATGTAGTATCCTATGACTTTGTTAAATTCAATTGTCTTTTTAGATTTTATAAGGTTTTCAACATATACATACAATCTTGTTGTCTGTGAATACAACAGTTTTTCTTTTACAATTGCATGCCTGTTATTTCTTTTTCTTGACTTATTGTACTAGCTAGGAAATTAGAGTATAATAATGATTAGAAATGGTAAAATGGATATTCTTGCCTTGTTCCCAGTTCTAGAGGGGAAGCATTCTTTTTTTTTTCCTTTTTTGCTATTCTATATTAATTGTAGTTATTTCAATAGGTACACTTAATAGATTTAGGAAGGTCCCATATTTTTCTAGTTTATGGAGTTTTGTTTAAATCATGAATGAGTGTTAAATTTTGTCTCATACTTTTTTCTGCATATATTTCATGATCATATGGTTTTTCTCCTGTATTCATTCTATTAATGTGAGTCATAGCAATTGATTTTTGAATGTTGAAATAGTCTTGCTCAAATGGTTATGATGCATTAGTCTTGTTATATATTGCTGATTTAAAAAATATATATCTCCTTGTTGTATATTGCTAGATTCCATTTGGTATGTTTTGTAAGGATTGTTGTGTCTATTCTCATGAGAGAATTTAGTTGATAATTTTTCTTACAGTATTTGTCCAGGTTTGGTGTCAGGGTTATGTAGGCCTCATAAAATGAGTTGGGAAGTGTTCTTTACTATTTTCTCAAAGAGTTTGTGTAAAAAGGTATTTCTTCCTTAATGTTTGATAGAATTTCAGCTGGGCTTATAGTTTCGTGTGATTTTTAAATTAAACATTCAATTTTTAAACTTTTCAACTTTACCTTTTATCTTGTGTTGGTTTTGATATATTTTATTTTTTCAAGGAATTTATGTATTTCATCTAAATTGTCAAATTGGCATAAAGTCCTGTGTAATTTTTTTTATTATGCTTTTAATCTGTAGGATCTATAATGATATCCTCTCTTTCATCCCTGGCGTTTCTCATTTATATTTTCTTTTTTATCCCATCCTTTGAAATTCACTGAGACTTGTTTTATGAGCCAGCGTACGCTCTGAGAGTGGTGACTGTTGCATGTGCACTTGAAAAGAATGAGGATTCTACTTTTGTCAGGGGAAGTGTTCTGTAAATATCAAATGGATTGACAGTTATCAAATCTTCTGTATCCTTACTCACCTTATACTTTCTCTGGCTCCAGCTCTGGAATCAGCCATTCCTCCAAGGACTCTTTTTAGTGTAGAATAGCATTTAGAAACCAAGATCTGGGGCTTTTGCTATGGGGCATTGCTTCTAGGTCCTTTCAGGAGACAGAAGACATTTTTGCGCACACACACATTTATAATAATTTCTAGATCTGTATAAAAATTACATATTTATCATGAGTTATATTTCCAATTCCAACAACATTCCTGTATCCTTTCCAGCCTTCCCCCTTTCCATGTAAATGTCTTCTCAATGAGAAACTTGGTTTCTAATATCCTCAATATATTTAATTACTAGTGGCCTGGTGCACGGATTTGTGCACATTGAAAGGGAAATAATTAGAAGAAATATTTTAATACTGCTATTTGCCCTTTCTCCCTCAGCACCTGGGAGCTGGGTGGCAGCCCCACCCCCTGCCCCCACTGCTGGTGGCCATCTGTGGGGTGATCGGGCCCCTGCTCGCACCTGCCTTGGCCTGGCCCTGCCTGCTCACATGCTCCACCATCCTGCAGCTACGGTCCCACTCTCACTGGGGCCCATTGGGACCGGCAGCACCTCCACTGCCACCTGCTGCCAGCACTGCATCACTGATGCCTGCCGTGTTCCACGCTGCCCCCTGGTGGTTAGCGCACGTTATAGCGAGTGGTCGAACTCCCAGTCTACCAGTAGAACCACCACCCGAGGGGGCAATTTACATATTAGGCTTTTATTATATAGGATTTGCTCAACCAGTTAACTTATTTGCTCAATGTAGCCAATTTCCCACCCACTCTCTCCAACACCTCCCTTTACTACCTCTGCACCCTCCTCCCACTGCTCTGTTTTCTCTGTCACCAAAGCCTCTGCATGACATCCTTCCCCCTTTTTCCCACATCCTCAGCCACCAGGGCATCCCACAATTGTCTCTGGAGTGTCCCTATCCCTCTGCCATGGCCCTTCTGGAACCCTGGGACATCCTGCTACTGTATTCTGTGTAGCATGCTCCCGCACAGCCCCTCCTCCTCCAATGCCAGAATTTCTGTGCCAGGAGGGAAAGAAAAAAGAGGACAGGAAGGGAAAAAATAAAGAAAACATTTTTAAGGTCTTTTATATCTTTCCATCTACTTACTCTGTCTCTCCGGGGCTCCTCATTCTTCCCAGCAGACCTGGCCTTTCTTCTGGTATCA